ATGACAATTATTCAACCTTAACTTAACGGACTTTCCGTAACCCATTAGTTTGGAGATCTTATAAACCATATAGTTACGATTCTTTTACATAATTCCATAAAAAAGTCCACTGGCAACAAAAAGTCCACCGGAAGTTCATTGTAGTCAATTTACATCAACGAGACCTTAAGTTACATGCCTAAGATATTAACAGGGCAGTAAAGCTGAAATAAAATATGTTAAAATATAGCCTGTTACATCGTCCACATATTTTCCATATATATATCTTCATTTTAATGTAAAAAAGACAGTTGTAAATATTTAAGTATAGCGATTTTAATTGACGGTGTACGTTTTTCAACTAGAGAAATATAATATTTTATATACTTTTAATGCATTTCCTTTAAAATAATTCGTTTTATCTAATTTTCAACAAGCTTACTTAGAAAAATAGTTAAAAACTCATACTTTAATGAAATATTTATAAAATTTTCTGATATTGAAATACTTTGTAATTAGTAAATATTAATGTTTCATTAAAAGTTTGAACCTATTTCTTACACCGCACTTATCATATCCATATATGATGTATTGAAAAAGTTTTAATGTTCTTTAATTTACTACAAGAATCTGCAATAAACAAAAAGTGTGTAAAATCTTTAATTAAAAACTCACAAACTTATCAAGCGTACCACAAACATGATTTTACGCTTTTCGAAACAAATTGTTTCTTCGCCTTACAGATGTAAATGGAGCAACCAACGAGCAGTGGGCCATGTTTCAGAACAACAGCACCACACGAGCCACCGTCACCACTCTTGTATCACGTAAAGGACGAAGGACGAAGGACGTGCAAACAAAAGTGAAACATTTAACAATTAAAGTTTCAATGGCCTCCACTAAAGACCAAACCATAAAGTTTTGTGTTTATTTGAAGTTTCCTACTTAAAATCTACTAATTGTTTTTGAAAAAAAAAAAATAATTTAGAACTAACCACACATTTTTGTAATTAATGCATTCTATATTCATCATAATCTGAATAATCTAAAGCGGGCTGATAAGTAAACGGAAATAATACCGCGAGAACTTACATGAGCTAAACGTTTGCATACAAACAAAACGAAACAATCACCTACAGAAAATGTTGACCTGTTCTCCTTGTTGATCAGCAAGGACGCGAAAATGTGTGGTCCCTAACAAACCAGCTTATCAAAAATGTACTAGAATTAAAACATAATACTATGGAGAATCTGGATTGAGTTGTCATTGTCAGTGTCAATTGTCCACTTTTCACTAGTTTATGAGTGATAAAATGGTATCAATTGTCCTCATACGATACACTGTAATAAGACTTATATGTCGTAGAATTTCTCTTGCATAGAATGTGCTATTAAACTTTATACAAAAAAGCAGTAAGAAATGTATAAATTCTACGTGCCGATTTCATTCATCCCCGCAGACCACTTATTTCATAATTTCTTTGGACTAGTCACGTACTAGTTCTTAGCAACAACTATCTCCAGCAGAACTGCAAGGTCTCTAGTGCCGTAGAGCTTGCGCTTATATAAGTAAGGCAACTGTAGAACTTTTGATACCCGGATGAAACCAGCATAATGTGACTTTGACTAGATCTGCGCAACAGTGTTAAGAACATCGTCGAAAAGTCGAACGATGAGGAGTGCATCAAGAATGTAGTACTTGAAGCTGTAATAAAAATGAACTCTAAAACAGCCCAAGGTTCAGACAATCTTACTTCGAATATAAGCCGTGCGTGTACTGATAGATCGATACAAGATATCGGCACAAAATAGTATACTATATCTCCATATCTCCAGCATTCGATAATACCAGCATTCGATTGCAAGATCATTGTAAAGAAGTCTTGCTTAATTCTTATTTCAAAGATTTTATTAAGATAATTATAAGTAATCGTATAATTATTAACTTTTGCAATCGATATTCACTATTAATAATTATTAAGGGTTTTTTTATGTTACAGAAGCCATATGTGGGATTAATGTATTACTCTTCTACTCGAAGTCTTAATTTTTAACATATTACACATGTATAGTCATAAGTTATGTAACCAATTGTATCCCTAATTGAGTTTCTATGTATTATAACTACTTAGCCATGAGCCCAAAGTAGAAGGTGTAACGTATATGGTGTTTTCTGAATGCGGTAAGTAAGGGACGTGTATTGTATTTTGTTGAGCTTAAAATAAAGTACTAAAATATTATACTAGATACTAAATATTATTATCTGCAGAAATTTGTTTTTTGTTATTTTGTTTAAGATATTTTTGTTCTTATTTTTTATTTATTTATCACTTAAGGAAACTGGGGAAAGTACCTATTATCTTTTGTTTATAATATATTAAATTTGTGCTTTTCAATTATATATATTGATTATTCTCAGTTACGTTTACTATTGTTATTTGTCAAATACATTCTTTATTCCAGTTTTAAAACAAAGTTATGGAAAAGGTTAGATGTTACGAATTTCAAATGTTTTTATATGTATTGAGAAACCTTTATATCTTCTTCTGTTTTGTCAGCCACTGTTTTCATGGTATGGCTTTGGGTGTTTTATATAATTGTAATTGTTTTTTTTTTTTTTTGTAATAAGCCGTAATTTAGAGGTCATGAAACTTTTTCGTATTGAAGTCTTCTTTTTTTTTTTTTAATATTAATTTATGCAATAAATAAGAGATATTTATATGATATTTTAAAGTATATTAAAAATTCTCAGTTTAATATTAATTTATAAAATTTTATTTTTTATAATTCTTATTCAGTTAAAAACGAAACTAGTATAAAAATTCATAATTAGTAATGGATTTGAAAACATATTTAATATAATTATTTGAATCTGATTATTGTTCACAAATTCTTTGGAACTGTAGTTTTTCTATTAATGCGTGAGTAGCTCTACCTGAGGTAGCCTAAATAAACCTCAACTAACAGTAAATAATCTAACCTGACTTAACCAATCAAATCTTAATGTTTTAATTATTTATTTTAGGGAGATTAAAATTAAAAATAATTTAATATTTGAAATCCAAGTAATAATTTTTTTCAGTATTTTCATTTGTTCTTATTAGTATTCATAAATAAATTAACCCAACTTGTTTAAATTTGTATTAAAAAAGAGTAAAATACTTTGTACGAAGTTTATATGCTTTCATCTGAGCGAAAAACTATAATACTGTGAAATTGCATCCGCAGAGCTTAAATTTCGCTATATATTTATACACGTCATATCTTCTAATGAATGCAGCACTAAAGTCTAGGAAACATAAGTTAAAGTTTAAATTGCACCGCTCTCACTAGTAGCGCAGGGAAGTCAACCATAAATTTGTATCCTTTTGACCCAACCCAACATATGCGTTTCCCAAGCATAACGCGGGTTATAAGGATAAAATGTTTCAATGATTTTACTGAAATCCAAAAAAAAAAAGAGAAGTCTGTAGAAGTGTCGGCACTTGCGGAAAGTATTGCCACTTGCATTGATGTCCCACAATGCAGCTCGCTAAGGGATAAAATAAAACTTTTAGGATTGGATATACAATTTTTTACTTACTGACTACTCTTCATATGTAGTTTCTTGTGCATACACATGACACATTAATCTGTAGGGAATAAACTTTAATATTTCATGTATATTACGATATGAATATTTTTTTAATTTATTTCCATTATGTGTACTAGTGAAATAATCATAAATTAAAATATTAATTTTGTGGAATCTAGTTCTCATTTGTCCCATATATGGAACCATGAAAATTTTTTTTAAATGGACCGCCATTACACAAATAAAAATCATACAAAAATTACAAAAAAAGGAAAAATGACTTAGGAGAGCTCTTACAGTCTGCTTTTAGGAAGAGAAGATCAAGAGAAATTAAATATGCTTTATTTAAATTTTTTGCCGAACATATAATAAAGCCCATATTCAAACAAGAACTATCAAAACAAAAAAATAAAAATTATAATGGTAAAAAATTCAAAACAATGGATGGATAAATAAATTTACAATAGGATTTGGAATTCGTCTTCTTAACAAATAAAATAAAATACTTTATTCACATGTTTAAAGCCACATAAAAAATAAAATAGAGTCAAGGTGATAAATCATCAACTCAGGAACATATGTATACAAGACTTAAAACAACACACTATGCGATCCGGTAGAAAAAAATCTTAGCTGGGATTGCATTTTCAACGGAGACAAGGATGGACACTGAACTCACTTAATTCTGACCATTAACTTGTAGGCGAGACAAAAGTTTTACAAAAATGCCTGTCACCTATCGTTCACGCAAATAGAAATAGAACTAAATAAATGTCTCCATATATAATTCAAGATCTCGTTCAAGCTAAAGAAATCGACACATATCACAACAGCTGTCAATCTTACTGAGGCAGCTGCGTTCAGTAGGCTGGCATCCTTAGAAGGGTGGTCAATAATCTCTGAACGTGTGTTCTCCCTTGCGCAACGCCAAACTTGACGTTGATGTCGCTTCCTTTTATAGCTAGATATTGTTCAGCAATTGTCGCGCACCGCTCTTCGTTTGATGGTACCTCGTTCAAATCCCTGCATTATATTAGGGTGTGTTGCGTTGAGGATTTTACACTAGCACAATCCTGAAGTATATTCTTCATTTCAATGCAGAAGTCCTTAGCCAAAGTTCCAGCTTCCTTAGTAAGCTTACTTTGGATATTTCTATGATGAAATAGTCTCTTTGATCGATTATTCTTGAAAGGGTGTAACAGTCAAGACCTAATGTTAATGTTAATTTTTTGCGAATCTAGAATTTTCGTAATTCATTTATTATGTATTAAACAATGTGATAAAATAATCTACAATAATAAATAAATATTTTAAATAATTTCATTCTATTTTTTGATAATAATGTTTAACAATTTGAAAATTATATTGTATATCTACTCATATATATCTATATCTATATGTATATATATCTATATGTATTATATGATCTATAAAAAATTATAAAATGTTATTTTGTGATACATATTTTGTTCATAACATCATCATAGGATTCTTTGTTAGGTATTTCTACAATCAAATGTCTCTCAGATCTGTCACTAGTTGAATGTGAAAAAGCACTTAAGTCCATTACATCAGACATTGATACACTTGTATCACCAGCACCGTTGACTACTACCTGTGAGTCAGCAGCCTCAACCATGGGTGTAACTTGTGACTGCTTAGAACTACGTTCCACTGTTACAGTACCTTCAACTGCTTCAGCTCCGTTATTGACTTGCTCTGCACTCAGTTGACGTTGTTGTACTTCTTGTCCTACATCAACATCACCTTGTTCTTCTTGCTGAATTGCTTGGATATTAAGCGATTTATCAGTTGCTGGTACATTCCAATCAAAGCAAGAATCATAGGTAAAACCAATTTTATGTAGCAAATTTTGCAATGTCATACGTAAAAAAAAATAATCGGGACGTTGTTCAAAGTGCATTTGCCTGCAGAAATCTAGATAAACCACAAATTCATTTGGAAAACCTCTGCACAATGCTCGTACTGTTGTGGAAATCTTTTTCTCTGATATTCGTTCAAACTTTTGCACTTTAGTAGCTGCTTTGATGCCTTGCCAAGGTAATGTGCCTCTTATGAAGTACATGAAAACATATCCGAGGGCTTCGAGATCATCACGGCGTGACTGCTCAAAATCCATATGAGTATTGATTGAAACATAACGTGCTGTGCCGATGAGACTGTTGTTTTTCGTATACGGTATATGTTTTAAAGTAGATGCATCACGGAACTTTTTTGTGAGCCCAAAATCAATTATATGAACGATATCGCTTTCCGCGCCTTGACCCATCACGAAGTTATCAGGCTTAATGTCACGATGTATGAAACCATGTGAATGTAAATATTCTATGCGTGTAATCATTTGATCCGCAAGTAAAAGCACAGTTTTAAGACTGAAATGACGATTACAAAAATTGAATAACTCCTCTAGCGAAAATCCAAGTAATTGCATAACAATAAAATTATGGTTACGTCCGGAACCGGACATAAAGACTTTTGGTATACCGCCACCGCCCTGCAGTTCTTTATATACTGCGGATTCATTAGCCAATTGTGCCTGCTTAGCATTTTTACTTTCTAATTTGATGGCTACTTTACTTCCATTGGTGGTATGTGTACCCAAATAAATTTCACCGAATGAGCCTGCACCAATTTTGCATTCAAGACGGTATGGACCGACGCTTGCGTCCATCTTGTATATTTTTCACTATAACTTGTTTAATCTTAGTTTCTGTTACACTAAAAGATTTATTTAGTGTTTACGTGGTGTAGATTTCAATGAACTATATGTGAATGAATCCAAATAAGGAATAAAATTATTCACTTTGAAATATATTGATTGAATGTATATGATAAATATATATAAAATGTTCTATTTTCTTAAAAATATCTTTTAAACGTCAGAGTTAGATATATGTACTTACCTTCTTCTTAAAATTTATATAAGATATTTTATTAAATACACTTTTATGAGATGCAAAATGAGATTTGTGGCAAAGTTCTGGAACTATAAGAAAGACACCAATTTTGTTTCTTTAATCGTTACTGACTGTACTTTCTGCACACAAAAATCTTGTTATATAGTATACGCATCTCTTTCACATAGACGTATTGTCTTTTCTTCATTAGCGAAGGTTTGGCGTCCATTCACAATAAGTTCATCACTAACAATAATATTTGCTGGCTAACATTTATTCAGCAATATTTAAGCATCTATGAAAAATATATTCTAGTCGCTTCAATTTATTTGACAATTATCTTTTAACTGAGCTGATTTAAAAATTACAATGCACAGTAAATATGATCAATGATATATGATATCAGGTAAAAGATATCATGGGTGTTATATTTATTTTATTTTCTCACAAACCGCTAACTGAAAATTACATAGTTCTCATAAAATGTATATATATGCATATAAATTTATTCAACATATTAGTTTTATACATATTATAGTTTATATTAACAAAGTATATTTTTTTTAATATAACAAAATAATTGATTACATTTTTTCTTTTGCTATGTTTAGAATGTTGTACTGAACTCAATTAATATACGGCAACGTCCGCTATTTTTCATACTATATCCACAAAATCCACAAAAATGTATGCTGAAGGTTTGATAAGTCCAAGTGTAAACACATTTTAAGAAATTAACAATAATTGTTTAAATATTATAACTACTTTTTCTGCACTTTACACTAAAATACCTTTATTCTAGTTATTAATTAAGTACGAGTTGTACCTATATTCGAATGTAATAAGTATTTGATATTATAAGTAATAAACTCACCATGACATACTCTATAAAAGCATAAGGAAGAGAAATACTGCAGTACAGTACTCTCTGCGCTTTAAAATAAGTCTTATTTTAACAGATAACCCATTTACTTTCTCGAAAACTCAGTAAATATCTCTGCAACTTTGCTAGAGACATCAACTAAAATAACTTAGAGAGATAAGGCAGAAAGCTAATAGTCTGTCGTAAAAACTTAATGTAGGATAATGGCTTGTTTTATGCACCTTTTCTAAATCCCAAAGGCAATAATGACATTAAACAGTCTGTTAATATAGATTATTGTTAAGAATGATTGGCTGTTTAACATTTTAGTTATGATTTTATCGTTCTTAGGAACTAAGATCATAAGTAATGATGTAAGTTTTAATTTTTTAAATAGTCCCAAGACCACTGACGATGTATATCCGAAAAACTTATATGGGTATTCCAAAATTTTATTTGATTAAAAAATTAAATTGGCGAATTTAAAAATTTCCCCCATCACCTTATCAACCTCTTTTTCAATTGAAAGAGTTTCTTGTTCAGAAAATATAAAGGATTTAATAAAATAATATATTAAAAATAAAAACGATGTATAACGTCATACATATTATAAAATGAAATAATTGCGATATTTCTCATAAACTTTTATTTTTTAAAACACTTAAAGCTGAAAGTATCCTCTATACACACAATTTGGATTGATTTCTACTGCATAGATGAAATTTTGACATGATTTTTTTTGATATATGATTCCATTCAATTTTATAAGATTTCATTTTTTGATTGTTGTTTTTGTTTTGTTTTTTAAACTCAAACTGCATAAAATCCCAAAAGGAGGCTTTACTTCCTTGCGTTCTACTGTCAGGATAACTGTCAAGCATACAGCATTGTTCCATAACAATAAAGAAAATAACATTTAACATGTGGCACAGATGATGGCGTTCCTCCTTCATTTATCAGAAAAAGCAATAAAAAGATTTTTTTAAAATTTTTAAAAAATTTTTTTAGTTTCTCAATAATAAATATATTTTAATTTTTAGTAATAATTCTGCAGATAACCGTCTGAATATATCAGCTAGAAGTGCATAATGAGTATTTGCAAAATGAGGTTAAACTAAATTCTTTGAAGTTCTAAATAGCCCTCCTACTTTGACACCTACGAAGAATAGACTCTATCTGTTGTAAAATAAATTAAGAAATTTTTTTATGGGATCGAGAATATTGAGTTGCCAAATTGAGGCCACATTTACCATTAAGCCAGAGAGTTCTTTCGAAAATTAACACTGGCTGGCACCAGAGAGCAGATAGTGAGTGCAATTGGTGATGATATGGGCAGCACCATCGATAGATGCTCTTCGCTAATATTTTTGAAATGCAATGTATACTTTGAAAATGTCATAGAGGCAGTATTGAAGCGGTGAGCAAACAAACATTTCCGTTGGCGACGGAGGATTTATCTCGGTACATTCTCATAACGCGAATCAACCAAGAAGTGTTAAGAGAACAAATTCCACACCTAATTTCTAGCACAATGAGTTTGGAAATTTCTTCAGACACAAATTTGATGTCAATGTTGGAAATATCAGAAATTATTAATATGTCTGTAGGTGATTGCTTGCAGTTGCAGGTAAGCAGATATCCTTCCGCTGTCCGCAATTAGCGATTTATTCCCGTTTAACCAACGCATTCCTCGCATGAAACCTTAAAAGACAACAAGAACACAAAAATCAAGTGGATCTTGTTGAATTTAGGTTATTTAACAAATCTTTTGTCCTCATGGATGAACAGTTTGATAAGAGTCTGCTGTGTTTTTGCGAAAGTAAAGAGTACTACCACAAAACCCTTTCTCATTAGGAAACGAAAGCTGGGCTATCACAGAAAAATACTCATTACAGTTAAATATTCATTATTCAGAGTGCATAGAAATTTAGAAAGAAACCATAGGTAAAGAAAAAGTTGTAAGAATAATAGTTCATACTCTACTGAAATTATTTTTGCCTGTTATCCCTTCCTCTTTTAATCATCCTTCCTCTGTGCATCTTCCGATACTTTAAATAATCTGGTAATGCTCCACTTTTGCTTAATATTTGCTATTGGGCACCTATTTAAAAATTTTATGTAGTTTGAAACTTAATATGTGATTAATGTTTTAGAATGATATCCATCCACTAAACGGAGGAACTACATATCAATGTCAGTAACCAACCCAGTTTTAGTAGATAATAAAATTTTTTTTTACCTCTTTTAAATTCCAGCTCAGATGCATTCAACGAATTTAAAATAAAGTGAAGAGACATTTGTAAACTCAAAAGTGCAAAACGTCAACAACACTTTATGTTACGTGATGCCAGTAGAACAAATAAGGATGAAACAAATTTCACACAGCAAAGGAAGAGCCAACGAGCAAACAAGATGTGCAAGGATACAAAATGGCAATGGCAACCCGAAACAAGGAGTATTGCGCTGACAGTATTACAGTAGGAAGTGCAATTCAACTAAAATTAAATGATGTATAAAACGTTTTTGGTTGAATAATGCACAGTTAATATCGGTGTATATTGCATTGCATTAAAAGTTGGCATTTGGCAGTGAGGAAGATATTACTACCATTACTTCCTCTACATTCTCCTCTTTATAGTAAGTATATTTATTCAGAATGTACAAAATGTGAGTTTTACTTAACAAAACTGTGAAAAATTTATTAAATTTTTAATCCTTCTTATGTAAATGGTTAATAAAAAAGTTGAGGTGGAAGAAGGACGAGTCCTCCTCAATTAGCCAAAAAGCTGTTTTGAATCCACAAAAAACCTCTTAATAGTGGGTAGTAGATAGAAGGTCAAACTAAAACCAGCCAGAGGCATTAACAAAGGCAAGAATCTGGCTAATGCTAATGCTGGAGATATCGTCAAGTGAATTGAAGAAGGGGTAGTAGTAGTAGTAAAAACACGAAATTGGTAATACTGATGTTACACTCTACATAACAAGAATTTTCGTCCTAGCCCGAAAGAGCCGATTTTGATGTGCCCGTGACACTCTACTTAACCTGGCCCTAAGAGATCAGATGCAAATCATATTTAACATGTAAATACAATCTTTCAATAATCAACACATATATCAAGTAAAAAATTTTTCTATTAAGCAACAAACTTTTGATACTAAACCTAAGCGGTACAGGTAACATTTTGAGTGAATATTTATGCTGGTTGATATTAAAGTCCAAAGCATATCCTCACCATACAATTTAAAATATTAAAAATTTTTATTCATCTTTTTAGGGTTTCTATTTCACGAAGATATTTTCAGCTCATTTAAAGACGCAATAATTTATACAAGAAATCAAATCAAATCAAATTATCTCAAATCCTTAGATGAGTGAAAACAATGACAATCTAAAGTAAATAACAACCAAAACAAAGTTGAAAGGATGTCAAAGTTCTGTGTTCTGTGTTCAATCAGAGGAAATGAAGTAACAGTAACATAAATTCACTGCTACAGCAACAAATACATGTGTGTCAGGAAACAACTTTAAATAAAGGATACCATACTTTAAAGGAATATACATCAGACATGACTTACATTTCATTTAGACTTATACCTGCATTGTTACAACTGCTCGTACAACGGAATGTACTTGGATTTATTCGTGACATGCTGCATCCTCACGACGTTGAAATGTGAAATCAAAAACATCACTGCCACAGGCTTGCACTGTGTATGTTATTGTTGTTACGGTTCTTCTTAGCAAATATTTAAATATTTTCTTGGGAATGTTCTGCAGATAATCCTTTTCATTTCTACTTTAAGTTGATCTCCTGGATGCTTAAAAAGTGATATAAAATTAAAGAATATAATTTTGGTACCATAATATTTCCATAAATAATACTAATAAAATAGTATCTAATCTGAATACTCGCATCCTTTATTAATTTTAAAAGTGTTATAATAGAGTAATTCCGATTTTCCGGGTATGTGAATTTGACAAAGTATTATAGTAGTAAGAACAACATATTCCATTAAGCAATATATCAATATCGTAGTGAGATTTTTACATTGATTACATTAATATGGATATTGTGCCATAAGTTTACAATAAAACAACTTTATTAATTTTTACTTTCCACGTGGGACAATCTTTTCTTAAAGCGCGATGCAGACTATCATTTTTGAATGTCATTCAAATTGCAGTCTCTTTGCTCAAATTTATTCTACCGACCGAACTTAAACATGCTCACATTCAAGAGTTGTCAATTAAGCAAAATTTTTAAAGAATAAGGGTGTTTACGCACGCTGTAAGTGTGTTTCGCATGCTATATATGTGTTTCGCATGCTGTAAAGGTGTTTACGCACGCTGTAAGTGTGTTTCGCACCCTGTAAGTGTATTAGTGCGACCATGCAAAAATATGCTCTTGAATGATGAATGAAAGTTTTTTGGTGGCAGACCCATTTATCTTCACGACAAGAAGCTAAATGATGTGCTCACCAAAAATTTTGTGAGTACGCCACCATGTTGGTTGCGTGTCATTCAAAGGTGCAGACTATCAGTTTTGAGTGTCATTCATGGATTTCCTCACTTGAATGACACTCAAAAATGATAGCCTGCACCGCGTTTTATTGGAAAGGATAATTTAGTTTTATATCACCGGTAAACATATCTACATATAAACATATCTGTTTATCTTTTTATGTTTTTTTGTTTATCTATTTATCAATCAATGTGTTGTCAATAGATATATTGTTTAAATGTTATGTATAGAGACATTTTTCATAAATACATATTTCACATATTATTTGTCAAGTCATATAAAACAGCTGTTAGTTTCAGAATAAACTTTGTACTCTGGCAAAATATCTGGAGTGCTATAAATTGATCTTGAGTGTTTGCTCAGGATTAACTAATCAAAAATGATATTTTTAATATCGATTGAAAAAGGCACCCCAATTTTATTATTCAAAAACGGCAATAGTAAATTTATTAAAAATAATTGAAAGAAAGAAACAGTACTAAAGTTCTAATAATTGAATATAAGCGATATTTTCGAAGAGCCCACTTTTTATGGATATTTAGCAATACTCAAAACAGCTACAGGTTTTTTTTGTTGTTTTTCTTAAACTGATGTTAATATTAAATTATTTTTTAACTAATTTTATTTCACAACACTGGGAAAAATTGTGATAAAGACCGAGTGCAACAACCCGACTTTAGCGCCATCTTACGTAAAAACTGATTTGAAATTTTTACTTAGTCAGTGCACCAACCTTTCGACAATTGTGCGTTGCCTCAATAATTTATTTACTATAAAATTGCTATTCATTAATCGAAATAGCATGCATTCGCTCTGCCTTCTATCATCATCATCATCATTATTATTACCATCATCGTCGTCATTATCATTATCATCATTTATATTATTTCAAGTGTACTTACATGTTCAAGAGATGTACATTATTGCCGGAGATATACGCAATCGAAAAAGCAGCCAGTCGTATACAAATTAGTCCTAAGAATATCATTCTCTTCATAAACAATCAAGCAGCCATGAGCCCAATCAAATTGGGAATTGTGAAATCGAGGATTGCGATGAAATATCACACCTTATTGATTAACGCGCCCTCATTGATTAAAATCACAGTATCTTTATATGCTGGGTTCCTGTACATAGGAATAGGGACCACCAAATTCAAATAAATAAGGCCGACATCTCTTAATATGCTCCGTTGTATAAACTGAACTAATCGCTTGTGAACTAATCGCAAATACTGTGAGGTTGCACGGGCCTTATAACTTGGATTAAACAGAAATTACAGAAGACAGACGGGTTACTGTGACATTGCCCTGAAGCTTCAACGACGACATATTCCGACAGATACAATGTACATGGAGTTGCTACCAGAAAAAGGAGATATAATCCATAGAAAGAAGACATAGAATATATTATGTCTTTGTCGAGGACTACAGGTAAAATGAATTCAATGACTTGCAGACCATTTGTTCACTGACTTGACAGAGATATCTATAGTAGACTTGTCTATTGTCTTCAGTTTTATCTTGAAGACAAAATGGTTAAAGAAGAACCATTTCAATTTTAAGAACGTCACAATGGCCAATAGATGTCTCTCACTAAAAGTGTTAACAGTATTTTCAGCACGAACTTCTCAACCAAACCTGATCTGATACCATTTAGACAAGAAATATTTCAGTTACTAATTCAATAAAAGCGGAACCTACTCAACACTTTGGTATCTGGACTCAGGTCAGGTCACTGCGTATGCGATAACTGCGTACGAAGACATACAATGAAACTTGGTCCTTTTGATAATGGCTTTTGTATGGAAGCAGCTGTTCGAAGCAGGGAGAAATTGAGCTTCATTTTAATGTCAGAGATCACCTTTGGCTAGTAAGAAATTTAAAATTTTGGATTCTTTTTTATGGCCGATTAATAGAGCTATCATCTTTCAAAGTTATGAAGGAAGTTGACTTCGACTTCGACAGTCAACTTCGACATTGCCTGTGTGATCTACCTTTTTTCGTAGTCTTCTTGGTCTGACGTATAAATCAACGTTTGTACTCGTAATATCCCATTGAGCTATTATTTATGCTCTAATGAGCTTTGGAGTGCAAAACAGCCACTTCAACCTTACCTACATTAAAAAGTTTTATCAAATTCGTCTAGGTTTAGTTATAGTCAATATTTTTCGATTAAGCCATACATATATTTTTATATATCCCTATACATATCCTTATATATCCTATACTTGTTTTGCTTATGAATGAAATAAATACACATAAAGTAGCAGTACCGGAAATTTTGTTGATTAGAAAATATATATTATATACGTTGATTATGGCATTCTCAATGACACGACAATGACAAGTTCTAGTTCTCTCGTCACTTTAATCACTGAAGGATTAAGGTTATGAATCGGATGTTAGGTTGAAATAAAAGTTATTTTATTTTTTGATTTCTTTTTATTACGTGTTTTTTTTTTGCGATTCCTTCCCACCCACAAATACATCTATGACTTAAGAACTACATACATTTAATTTTAAGAGATTACGTCGACATACAATATAAATAATTTTTTCTTATTTTTTATATTATTTCTACATAAATTTTCCATAAATATTTGATTAGCCTTTTTGTGCAGTAAATAAATTTAAAAACCATTTCAAGATGATTTGTTCGAATTACGAGTAAAGTTGAGATACAGCAGCTTAAACATCCTTTTCGTTAACAAAAAAGGAATTAAAGCTGGAAAAAATATTTAATTATAATTTTTATTTTACTTAAAGTAATTATACGCTTTGTTATATTATTTTCTCTTCTAATGTTGTTATATAATTTAATAATTCTTTCTTTAAAGGACGTTTCTTCTAAAAGGTCGTCATAAAGTTACTTTCTATTGAGTATGAATTCTGTTTTTGTTCGTTATTTTAATTTTTATATATAAATACATTTATTATATAGTTTTTATATATTTTTTATATATTTTTATAAAGTAAATAAATTTAAATACATATATAAATATTTGTTTTTTACTTCTGACTTACATTTATAGACAAAATTTTGCACGTTTATCAAGCTAAACTCGATTGGACATATCTACAATTTGGAACACTAAACATAACACTCACTTCCCTACATATAAGTAATTTATGTACTTAATTTAAAAAAAAACTTTACTGGAGAGCAGAACAAAATATACAAATTATTTAAAATAGAAATAATTATATTATTCTTAATATATAAATTAACTGTACGGTTATAAATATATGTATATATATGTATGTATATACTATATACTTGCTGATAATTATTTTAAAAAATTACAAATAAATATACACAACAATAAAGGATAGTCGCTCTCTAGAAAAGCTACAGTTTAGGCTACTGTCCTGTGTGTATGCTCTCCCATATTTCAACCCGTCTGATCCACACACGTCTGCCCTTCTGCCCGTCTGTTTGGCAGTAAATACATTTCTAAACTCTTAAAATTGAAGTAATTTATTTTTTAATCCTAATTAAATATATGTTTGCTTTATTACATATCATAGCTATAATATCATTAGTTTTGTGATGCATTTTAACTTATGGAATTTGCTTACAAAGCCTTACGATAGCGATAAAATGTATATATATATCTTCTCATCTCATCATCTCATCTCATCAAGTTTAGTGTAATCGAACCTCCACTAAAAACTAATTTTGAATTTTCTTCGTAAATCTACGTTTTCTGTTTAAATGCACTGATTTTTACATTAAAGTACTTAAATAAATATTTCCTAGTCACTAAAAATAAATAATTTTCTTTACGGCTAAGAGAAAGTAGTCTAACATGTTTGTTTACTTAGCGGGACATTAAATGATTGCAGATTTTTTTATTATTATTCCATTTTTGTGCTTTAATTTTTGCACATTCAATCCGTTTTTGCTGTGAATTATTTACATGTGTGCTCCTCGAGGACTTTTACACAAATATCGCATTTGACTTGGCAGCACCAGTGGAACTTGCAGTTGCAACGTTCACGTACGACAATATTTTTCGTATTATAGCCTCGTCCACAGCAGAGTATGCCGCATCCATCCAATCCGGATGAGGTCTTGTTGCATATGCGACCATGCGTGCCTAAAGTATGTGAAAGAAAAACATTATTATTATTTAAAGGAATTGTTAAGTAGCTTTAGTTGAAAGTATGGTGAGTTTTAGTTTTGTTGAAATCACCATTAATATCACAGGTGCTTGTACATGCTATGAAAAAAGACCGTAAAACTAAAATTAGGCAAGCATTAAATATCTTAACAATACGATCTGAAGCTAAATTTTTTTACCATTTTAATTCAATATAATATGAGTTAATATAAATAATACATTAAGTTTATTGACATTAAGAGTACTCAGCTAAACTGATAAATGTATTATAAACCTAACAAGCGTATACATTTAACTACTTTGTAAATTAAGTGATAAATCTTGTATGAAAAATAATTTACACACAAACTTGATAAATTTACACGAAAATTTTATCGTAAAAATTTATCGCATAAATTTTTTATATCGTTAAGCTCAGACTGATTGGGATAATACAATTGCCTGCAGACAAGCTAAAAAATCCATGTCGTTTCAGAACAGAAGTGGCATCCGACTTGTCATAGGGTTTCGCACTGTGCATTGCGGTGTTAAAAAGCATCTATCAATTCTAGGTATTACTAGAGACGATAGCTGCAGGAGGAGAAACTGCAGAACACATTCTGTATCACTGTGTATCACTAGTCTCGCCAGACTCAGATTTCGGCACTTATCCATTGCCTATCCACTTATAACGGAATTAGGCGGCATCTCTCCAAAGGACATTATAGCATTCTTAACTGTTACTCGTCTATGGAACTGAAGTGGGTATGTCACAATAATCCTCAAAGGATGCAGTGACTTGGTAATAAGTTCCCAACCCATCTTAAAATCTAATTTAATCTATATATTTTTAACACAGAGTTGCATGCGTTATTCATAAGCAAGTCATTTTATATTTTATTATATCATTTTAGTATTTGATCAATTAGCACGTTTTATAAAATAAAAATTATAGAACAATAAAATAAGCAAATGAATATTTATAAATGTGTTAAATTATTTGGACTTACCCGGCCACTGTAGCTGTTTATTATTTCGACACCAATCAGGACTTTCGTCCAAATAAACCAAATCGTGCGCTGTTGGCACCTTGAACTGTGCATCTTTAACTTGTAACCGCCCCCGTTTGTTTAATTTCACCTCCGTAGATTCTTCATACTTTTCACGTAAATAGTCACCTATAATGTATGAAGAAAATAAATTTTTAATTTTATACCAAAACTTGTGGTGAATAAATCTTGCTTAATGAAATTAGCAAATACAGCAACCACACCTTGTAGGTGAGGGAGACTTTAATTAAAATCGCAATAATCACTTACCAATTTCTCTTATCGATGACAACTGTTGCCAGCACGTAATTAAACTGCATGAACCGGAGACACCATGGCATTTGCAAGTTATACGAGTTTTCTTTATAACGGCCTGCAATGCAATAAAATAAAGAATTAAATAAAATTATTATTTGCTCCATAAATTAATTTTATTATAAATTTATTCATATATTTTAAATGATTCCTGTTTTTAAAGTAGAATTACAGTTTGAAGGTGAAACTTATATTAAAAAGTGTTATTAATTATCAAAGTCAACTAAACTTCAATAAATTTATTCAACAAGAAAATTTATTCAATAAGATAGTGTCATATTTTTTACATTTGTCATTTGAAATCAATCACCACAAAATAAATGAAAGACAATAAAAGAGAAAAGTTCTCTTTTAGGAAGACAATTTGTCGTCACACATATCAATAGCCAAAATGGACGAATTACATTTTGAATTGTTCCCGCACTCACTGTATTAACCGGATTTTGTCCCGAGCGATTACTACCTGTTCACAGATCAGAAAAAAAATGCTAGATTGAAAGAGATTTGGCTCTAATGAAAAAGTCATAGAAGAAACTGAGAGGTATTGAAATGAATGATTGTATTACTCTTGAAAGAGACTTTGTTGATGAATAAAGTCGAAAATTTAACAAAAGGTTATTATTTTTATTGTTTATCCTATGGACCTATCAACCGATATGTTATATCTTGGTTGCAGAACCTTATATATCTCACGCAGACAGCACAATACAAATATCTTTCATGATTTTTGCAAGTTAACATTATCCAACTATCTGACTGAGCTTTTATCCTGTAATGTTAGGGACCTGGCCAAGTTTATAGAACTGTCAGGTTGGTTTTCCTTTACGTGATGTGGGAGTCGTTACCATTTTTTGTGTAGGCTGCATACTGATTTAAATCTATGTATGTACAATGCTATTCCACCACAATGGACCAACATTTGAGCTCAAGTGGGCTATTTGGAAAAAAGGCCGAAACTTCAACCTATCTACCTACCTACTACCGAACAAAAGAAATCAGCCTGTCTTTAAAGAATTTCTTCCTATATAAAATAAATATTAATAATCTATTATTAATAAAAACTTGTCAATGATTAGCTTTTCTTTTTATAATTTATCCAAATAAATCCAGAACATCGTATTATAAATGAACGAAATCCTTATGAAAGCATTTAGCATGAGTACACATGTCCAATTATGAGTAAAGTGGCATGTTGATAGTTCCTTTGTTATATTTTCCACTTTAATCCAATAACACACAAACGAAAAAAAGGAAAACAGAAAGGAGGGTAGGGGGTGGGTGTAGTAAGAGACATTTTTCATTGACTTAAATGCGTTCGTGCTCGCGATGCCAAAATAGCTAAAAACTTTTATTAGATCCAATAAGTAGCAGAGAAAAATCACAACTATTTGCAGCGGTGCTGACAGTTAAAAGTAGGGGACCCCCACACAGAGCAGCTACGTTACACTTAGCTTTGAAAATGTCACCAAAATGAAATCCTTATAAAATTTATGACACATACTCGTACTTCACACAAACTCGCAAGCAGGGATGTCACAGGATACGCTTAGGCACTGGCTTTCCTCTACATGTGTTTGTGTGGCTTTGAAGTAACTTAACGACTTTGTTGCGCATTTCGCCAACGAAATGAAATGCGAAACGAATTTAAGAATTTCTTAAGTTTTCTATAAAAGTTGGAAAGTAAAAATCAAATGGAAAATGACAGCTGTAGTAGGAAAGGAACCGAGTCTTAAATATTAAAAGCGCATGACTTCATGTGCCAGGCTGCCAGGCTGCCAGGCTGCAAAACGAAATAATAAAAGTCAATGCAGGAAACTCGGTGGCGTAGAATAGCAGCCGAGTTGACAATTCTGATTGGCTTTTGTTATGTTCAAGGAGAAAAATCAAAAGCATTCGCAGACATTTGACAATAAATTTTGACAATAATTTTGGCAGTCTAACCGCAGCGAAATGTAAAACGCCACGCTTCCCATTTAAGCGTGACAAATCGCATCAATTTTGCATGTCAGCGCAAGGATGTGCATGTCTCTGCGTCTTTGCGTCGTTGCGTTATTGCATCATTGCGTGTAATGCGACATTGTGGCACGAAAATGCCAATTGCTGCTATTTGTTGCAATATTTTTATTGGGAGCAATTGTTGCTGCTGCCATTGCCAATAACAAAATATTTGCAGAATAATATTTTATGCACAAAAGCCAATTTTGATTCAAATTTCCGTTTCATTTTAATTTCGCTTTTGCTTTTTTATTAAATTAATTTCACGTGTCAAAAGAGATACAAATGATTTTTCCGATTTTCTTTTTCTCTTTATTGGTTTTATTTTTATTTTAATTTGTTGTTATTATGTTGAGGAATTTTTATTTTTTGGCAACAATATCGCAAAGCAGCTTAACTCAATTTAAAGTTTGCAATTTATTTTCCATTTGGCAATATTAAGCGCAGTGTTTGCGCTTTTGCGCTTCTGCGTTTTTTTGTGCGTCGAGTTTATTACAGCAACATTGGCAGGAGCATCGGCAGGCATCATTTTTCACAAAAACAAACTTGGATGCAACAACGCAACAACGCAACAACGCAGAGCAATCGAGCGACATATCAAATGTCAAACAAAATGAATTCGCGATACATGTGTACCGTCGAATGGCGAAAAGTACACCAGAAATGAAACAACAAACCACTTCGTCTATTGAAGGAAAAACATAAAAAAATCTGCAAATATTAAACAACAAAAAAAAACAAAAGATAGAAAAAAACCATTCCATTTACAAAAATATTCACAAAATATGCAATTTCGGCAGCAGTTGCAGCAGCCAAGGAAACTACACTTTTTGCCTTCCTTCCTAAGTTTTTGCTGATAACACAATGATGGCGACATACGACATATTGTGTAGACGCCATGCTTTTTAAAATTTCTATTGCACTGTTGCGGCCACGACACTATCTGTGACAAAATAACGGTAATTCCCATTCAGTTCCAATCACCCTAAACTCATTTCCAGATTCTTATAAAAGTTCTAAAGAATTTTGTGTTTACTAGTCATTTGTATATTAGAGAAGGGAAGATGATGGATCCGAAACCATTTTCTTGAGGAAACAAATTCATATTTCATTAGGGACAGTTTTTCTTTTTTCATATCTGAATGGTTTATCAGTTATTTGAATTTATAATATACTTATTTATCTCACAGTTATATATAAGATATAAGCATAAATATATAATACAGTTAAGGCAAAAGGAGGAGCTTTGAAGTTAATAGAGAGTTAAACTGTTCAAGTGTACTGACTCAAATAGCTTTAACATATTTATATATCTTGAGGGATGTATATCAATATATATATATCGATTCTGGGATGTGGAAATGTAGGAAATGTATGAGTAGCTTATAATTCATTTTTACTTATACTTTAATAGTTTATGTCACAGTTGTAAATAAAAAAACAAATCTCGAGGAATGTATATCGATACAATATACACCAGATATAGGTATATATCGCTTCTGGGATGTTAAAATGTGTAAAATATATGCATTTATGTAGTTTATAACTTATTTTTATTTAACCCTTAATAGTTTATATCTAAGTTGTAAATAAAAAATTATATCTCGAAAATCGTAAGAACTACTACAAAATATACTATATAAGTACTAAGTGAAATATATAAATATAAGAAGTATAAAAATAGTCCACAACATTCAAGTTATGACTTAGATCATAGAAAAATTTTTATATAAAATTTATTTGTTAATAAAAATATTGTAACTAACGATAAGATAGATGCAGTAATATAGCTCTTATATAGAGCATGATATTAAGAGAAGTAAGAAATTGTCATTAACTAAGATACCAAAAGAAATTGGGCTAATGAATAAATGTACCATATTTAACCGAATATGATGCGTCTTATGGCAAAACGTAACTAGAAGAGTTCGAATAGTAATGAAGAAACAACAACAAAAATTTGATTAATTTATTGAAGTTTAGCTGACCACACAACGCGGTTTCGAGTATTGTCAAGAACTCATCATTAGTGATCTTAGAAAATAGTCAAATTTTTATATAATAAGTATATAGGTACTTCATACATAATATGTTGGTGAGCAAGTGCCGGACTTAGAGCTCGTGCCAGTCAAATAAGAAACGATGACTAATCGTGTTTTTTCATAAATAACTAAAACTGCACAGACTTTAAATACTCAAGTTCTAAGTTTTTTTTCACTTAATTTGTAAGTGAGACTAATCAAGGCACTTGCCACGCCTTAATATAAAACAATATACTATACTTAATATACGCGTCGCGACCATTGCGACAGTTCATCATATGACTAACTGCATAACATGACCCTCAAAAAAAATAACATTTACTATCATATGATTTGATTTATACTTAACTAAAATAAATAAATTTATCTTTGGATGAATCTTCTGGATCACTAACACAGTAAAAATAAAATCGAAAGCCACGCTACGCGTTAAAGAGTGGTTAAGATTAAAAAGGTTAGTCGCAAAAATAGGTCGCAAAAATAAATCATCCAACTAGCAATTTTGATTCTGTACTTCATTTTTTGTAGCATAAGAAATCATCTTCAAGGACGGAATAAACGGAATAAATCACCTAATCACCAGTGAGCTGCAGAAGGCAAGTACTTTCATTCTCCTAAGAGCTAGAAACCGCCTTCAAAGGAGGAAAAACCACTCGATTACCATAATAAGTCATTCAAGAAGCAAGCGGAATAGAACATTTCATTATTCTACGAGTTATGCATTAGAGGCAGAAGAACTACCCCATAACTGAAACAAATTACCCAATCAGCAAGTTGGATAAGATAGTTCATTCTAATGAGAGAAATAAGTAATCTTAAAAGAAATAGGGAGTATCCCGTCGCAAAATAAAACAATTAGCCAGAAAACTGAATTAAAAATTTTATTTTCGTAAGAGTAAAAATGAATTTAAAAGGCAAATCAACTAATTTCCTAGGTCTATAGATCTTTTTCTTGCTCTTATACAATTTTTAAGTTCTGACAGTGATTAGCGTCCCTAGTGATACAATTCTTAGACATTAA